AATCAAAATGTGAAATGAAATCCGCAACTCACAGTGTCTCGCTATGCACTAATATTTTTATCTGTAAAACTGAACTATATCACTTCGGTCTACATATGCAGGACTATGCAGAGGCTACCCATTATTCGAAGCAAATCCTTGAATAGACTAAATAACATTCAACCTGCCTATCGGCCAGATATATCTTAAATTGTATTACGCGATATGAGAGCCTGCCCGGCCGAGGTTCGTGAGTTTGTATTTGCATAAATATCCGTCTCGCCTGTCCCTTGAGTGTTGAGCATGGGCCAGATCCCCTGGCAACTCCTCACAGCGCCATTTTCCTCAGACCGTAATGATCTATTTGCGCTTTCGCACTGCTCACTTGCTCCCATATTGCCCTCTCAACATCCAGCTTGTCATACATTAGTTCACCACTAAGTGGTGCAGAACCGGTCAGTCTATCTACCTGCTCATTTCCCAACACACCGCATTACCTGGAGAGAATATCTAGAGGATGCTAACTACCCTAGACCTCTGAAGTATTGATTGCCACTCTGCACGAAGCATACCTATTGTTTTGTGGTGTTTGGGCGGGGGGGGGGGGGAGGGGAGGGGGGGAGGTGTTTGTAGATTGCTTAGATAGCATTTAAAAGATTCTTAGATGGTGAAAGAATGAATGAATTTCTACCCCACCAGGACATCACACAAGCGATAAACACCCGATGACACAAAGTGCCACCATGTGGATGAGGATCGCCTTGGATAGGTCCCAGAAACCGCGTTCAGACAATTTGCCATATTTATGGCCTGCCTATATTGCGGCCCCTGGCAAAAGCCAGAGTGGGGCTTCAAATAACAAAAAATTACGTCCTAAAAAGAACATAAGGATAGTCAATGTAGATGGTGCTCACAACTGCATTTCATCAAATGATTTATTAGAGCGTTAAAGAGGTGTTTAAAACATGCTTACCAAAGTGTTTAAACGGTCTTATATTTTACTTAAATGGTTCGTTACCATTCTTTGCATGTTTTTTTTTAAAAATAGTTATTAAATTATTTCAAAAGTTATTTAAATGCTAATTAGATAAAACTGTAATAAAAGTACCATTACCTGAAGGTGTTTTTTTTTTTTTTTAAATTAGTATTCTGACAGACTGACTTTAAGGAATATAATAACAGTAACTCTAACATTTGTAAAAAAATCAATGTCATTTAAGTCCCTTTAGGAGATGAAATGTGTATCCCCCCTGTAAAGTTATCTGGGTTTACCCTGTTAAAAAAAAAAATTAAAGTAATAACATATAAGCAACATTAGAAAGAAACCGTGTGTCTTTACTACGCTGCATCAGTGTGAAATTACGTTTTTGTTTCTGTACACAGAACCAGCTAACGCCAGACAAAAGACAAATCACACTGTCGCAGGTTCGAGGTGCTTTTACAGTTATGTGCCTCCTGGGCGTCACTTGGGTGTTTGGACCCCTAGCTATCGGAGACGCCCAGACAGTCTTTAACTATTTGTTCTGCATCTGTAATTCCTTTCAAGGCTTTGCCATCTTCGTGTTTCGATGTCTGTTCCACAAAGAAGCCAGGCTGTCATGGATGTATCTTCTGCAAAAGGGAACATTTAAGAGTCGACGTGGACCTTTTGATTCGGCAGTGTCTGATTTTATAGCCAGGGCTGAGGACAGGCGGTACAGTAGCAGCAACACAAGCGGCGTTGTTGGGGACATGTCTTCGCGCAACACGTCGACCTCAACAGCTTCGAGCAGGCACGACAGTTGTAGCCTCCCACAGAACTACTTCACAGCAACCGCCTGCCTTCGCACCAGCATTAGACAGGGCAGCCTGGACAACAGTGATGCCATTCTTGATGCTCCTGGGGTCAGTTTGAGTCGCCTGCCCACAAAGCTCAGGCGAAGGTCCTTGGACTTTGTGTCTGATCCGTTGGTGACGGCTTTTCCTAGATATTCTTTCAGAAGTTCTGTGTGTACTGATAATGTAAATCTGGCGTATGACAGTGAATTTACTCATCTCTGACATTTTGTAGATACATGGTCGCCGAAACTTGAAGTGCTCAGGCTCCGAACACATCTACGGGGCAAGGGTGAGGGGGGGGGAGGGGAGGGGGGTTACTTACCCTCTGAGCCAAAAAAGAGGCAAATGGTCGCTTACCACCTCTCCTCTTCACCAGACACTAAACATTTTAAAGGCATCTAAACGATTTTCTTTATCCATATATAACAATACTCTTTTAAAATTTCCTATTTGTTTGTATATACATAATTATATTTTTTTGCCGTTTATGACAGTATTATTATAATTATTATGCTCCTAAACTAGGATTAAGCTCCTGGAGCTATTCCTTTTTTTGTCTAGAAAACTTAGCCTATTTCTTTAGTCTCACCTCCCTGCCCATAAACATCAATGTTTTCTTGGGATGCATGTATGTACAACAAGAACAACAAAACCATTGAATTCTTTAAATGCAAGCTATGACTAGAAAGTTAAAGAAGAAGAAGAAAAAGAAGAAGAAGAAGAAGAAGAACAACAACAACAACAACAACAACAACAACAACAACAACAACAACAAGAACAACAAGAAAAAGACCGAAAAAAAAGAAGAAGAAGAAGAGCACATAAACTATTCAACATCAACATTTCCACCGAAGTCTTTATCAACGAGTAGTACAATAAAAATGAATCCTAGACACCAGATTCCGCAGAGAAGTGGCAAAAATGGAAATGAAACAAAGGAATATGAAGAAATCGTGCGAAACGAAACAATAACAAAGAAAGAATATAATAATAATAATAATAATAATAATAATAATAATAATAATAATAATAATAATAATAATAATATTAAAATAGGTAGAGTAAAAAGGAAAAAGTTCAACTGAAATAGAAAATCGTGGAAAACGATAGGTATAATAATGTTTAGTGTAGGCTGTGCTGAACGCTGATTTCTGCTGGGCTAAACAAATTTAAACTATAAATGAGGTGATACTTTGAAAAAAAAAACAAGGGTATGGGGGAGGGGTAGAGGGAGACGTTTGATTTGATCATCAGAGGAAGATGTCATGGCGTTGTCAGAGATTTCAGTTTCACCTCTGTGGTCAAAACACTGCTTTATCAACACCGGTGAAAGGGGACGACATTGGAGAATAACTAAATAAATGGCTTTTCACCGGGGTCAGTTTTGGACATCATGGAGTTCAAGTTGTATTAAACTAGTCTGAATGTGATAGTCTAGTTCAATTGGTGTCAACTTTCTCGCATTCACTGGCTATAAACTTTGATTGAAAGTTCTGGTTGTTCGTCGACTTCTGAACTGTAATCTTGTTCTAGAACTTGTGTTTTTTGTGCACGTCCGTTTTACAGCATATTTGAAAGCAGACTTGATTCTGCATCTCTCAGGAAGGTGCTCTCCGATATCGAAGGAAGATAAACTAAACAAAAAACAAAAAAACAAAGAAGACAACTTCTAGTAGTTGTTATTATGTGAAGAATTTATTGATTGGCTCTGTGCGGCACCTTCCAAAGCCAAGCCTGATCTTGACATGTTTTCACAGAAACCGTTAGCCATCTAGTTAGCCACATTTTGTCTTGACCCGTGGCATTCTGGAAGTTAGAGGTAATAATGTATTCTAGGGCGATGTAAACCGGCATCATTGCACACGGTTATAAACCATAAGTGCTCTGCCACCAGTACGGACAAAAAAAAAAAGGAAAAGTAAAGTAAAGGACCCTTTTCCACGCCTTTTAGGCGTATAGGGCATATAGGGCTAGACCTATATTTTTATAGACCAATCGGCCAAAGATGGGTGATGTGGTCAGCATCACGCCGGCCGCCTCTACTTTCCGGGACTGCACCCGGTTCCCACTCAAGGCTGGGTCGACCTGGGAGCCGAGGTCATTTTTCAAAATAGTCTGACTCCGCCAGGGAGCGAACCCACGACCTTCCGATCCGCGGCGAGCGTCTAGCCGCTCGGCCACGGCGACCCCCACCAGTATGGACAGCTGATACGAAACTGTCTGCCTGTGTCGCCCTTAGCACTCAACGCCGTAGCTACAGCGACGTTCCTCCATTTACACCAGAGTGTTAACTCTGGTACCCATTACCTAGAGGCTGGGTGAACCCTGGAAACCGTCCAGCTTCAAACACCGACCGTGGGCTGCGGAGAGTCGCAGCTGGATTTGAAAGTGAGTCTCCTTTTGACTGCCCTAACGCGGAGAGGAAATACGAATAAACATATGTTTTCCTCTTTTATTAGCGCAGGGCAATTTGTGCCGGCTGTTTAATTTAGATGATTTTGCATGGCTAACGAAAGCAGCCTTACTTATATTAGACACGGACAATGCCCCCCCCCCTCCCTTCTCTCTCTCTCTCTCTCTCTCTCTCTCTCTCTCTCTCTCTCTCTCTCTCTCTCTCTCTCTCTCTCTCTCTCTCGCAGTATGAGTGCATGTTCTGATCTTAACGAGTATGCTATGCTATAATTCGTATGAATGAGTATGTGTGTGTTTGCGTGTATGAATATGTGTGTATGCGTGTATGCATGATTATGTGTTAGTACGGATGTGAGTGTGTATTTATGTGTATGCATGCATGTATGTATCTTTGAAAGCAAACATTTACCATCCATGTCTTTGTGTCGTTAGCTGGTACACATGTTTTTAGCTTTGTTTTATGAACATATCAGCTTCGTTGATCAAAATATATTGGGTATGTAAACGGTGAGTATTTCAAAGGGATGAATGTAGGACGGACTTGCGTTCACTTTTGGTGACACTTACAAAATAAAGTTCGTTTGTTCGTTTTCTGTCTCTCCTCTTCCCGTCTCTCTCTCTCTCTCTCTCTCTCTCTCTCTCTCTCTCTCTCTCTCTCTCTCTCTCTCTCTCTACGCGTTTGATTGTGTATGCCGTCACTGTTTCCCCCCTCTCTTCCTCCCGCCCAAAAATGTGTAGCGGGGCTAAACTGTGAACACTTAACCCTCCTCCCCCCCCCCCCACTTTATCACCCCCCCCCCCTTAATCACATACCAAACTATGCGTATAAGTTCTATTCATAGGTTTACGTCTTTACATATGATATTGAATTATTTTTGTACATCATTATATTATCTATGCATATCAGAATATAGTATATACATATATCATATTCCTCCATCATCTGAGCATCACGGAGAACTGGCTCATAAACAGCATCTTCCTCTTCTTTTCTCTACTCCTGGAATACCTCGCGGCGTCAGGGCAGAAAGACGTCTCTGGAACGGGTCCTTTTGTTCTTTTCGTATCAAGTACTTTACAGTATGACTGATGTTTCTGCGGCCCATGTTCAGCGTCGACGACCCCTGGGTGTGTTCCCACTGTATCTGTATAAAATTGCTCTCTGTGGGGCCCTGTCTGACGCCAATCTTGTCACATGGCCAAACCATTTGATTTGTTGTCTGCCTACAAAGTTCAGTATTAGTTCTGTGCCGACTCTCCTCCTGATTTAATTGTTCCTTAGTTGGTTTTTACCTTGTTTCACCTAGAATAGTATGTAAAAATTTCATTTCTCTCCTAGTTAGTGAAATACTTACATCTGCCTATCGTATTTAGTGAAATACTTACATCTGCCTATCCTAGTTAGTGAAATACTTGCATCTGTCTATCGAAGTTAGTGAACTACTTACATCTGTCTATCTTAGCTAGTGAAATACTTATATCTGTCTATCGTAGTTAGTGAAATACTTGCATCTGCCTATCCTAGCTAGTGAAATACTTACATCTGCCTATCTTAGTTAGTGAAATACTTACATCTGCCTATCCTAGTTAGTGAAATACTTACATCTGTCTATCGAAGTTAGTGAAATACTTACATCTGCCTATCCTAGTTAGTGAAATACTTACATCTGTCTATCGAAGTTAGTGAAATACTTACATCTGCCTATCCTAGCTAGTGAAATACTTACATCTGCCTATCGTAGTTAGTGAAATACTTACATCTATCTGCTTATCCTTGTTAGTGAAATACCTACATCTGCCTATCATAGTTAGTAAAATACAGCTGTCTATCCTAGTTAGTGAAATACGTACATCTATCTGCCTATCCTTGTTAGTAAAGTACTTATATCTGTCTATCCTTGTTGGTAAAGTACTTATATCTGCCTATCCTTGTTAGCAAAGTTCTTATATCTGCCTATCCTTTTTAGTGAAATACTTACAGTTGCCTATCCTAGCTAGTGAAATGTCTATCGTAGTTAGTGAAATGCTTACATCTCCCTATCGTAGTTAGTGAAATACTTACATCCGTATATTGTAGTTTGTGGAATACTTACATCTGCCTATCTTAGGGAAATACGTACATCTATCTGCCTATCCTTGTTAGTAAAGTACTTTTATCTGCCTATCCTTGTTAGTAAAGTACTTATATCTGCCTATCCTTTTTAGTGAAATACTTACAGTTGCCTATCTTAGCTAGTGAAATTCTTACAGTTGCCTATCCTAGCTAGTGAAATACTTACAGTTGCCTATCCTAGCTAGTGAAATACTTACAGTTGCCTATCCTAGTTAGTGAAATACTTACAGCTGTTGTCCATCGCAGTTAGTGAAATACAGTTGCTTATCCTATCTAGTATAATACTTACAGCTGGCTATCGTAGTTAGTGAAATGCTTACAGCTGTTTATCGTAGTTAGTGAAATGCATACAGCTGTCTATCGTAGTTAGTGAAATACTTACAGCTGTCTATCGTAGTTAGTGAAATGCTTACAGCTGTTGTCCATCGCAGTTAGCGAAATACAGTTGCTTATCCTACCTAGTATAATACTTACAGCTGGCTATCGTAGTTGGGTAAATACTTACAGCTGCCTATCCTGGGAAATTCCACACAGGCTGGGGTCGCCTGGACACCAGGACAGTTCTGTGGTTCAGTGGCTGGATGGGTCTGAAGTCATCCACTAACGGTTTATGTTCAGCTTGATGTAACAATCGGAATTTTCTGAGCTGTGATCGAACATCAAAGATAATATTACAAAAATCAAATTTTCATGTAGCATAATTCTCTATCTCTTTCTGGCTCTTAGCTCCCTGTGGAGCATAGGCCCTCAAACAGTTCAGGCAAAGTTTTCTTATCCTATAGCATGCAGCACACCCCCATGACTTCGCAATCTTTTGAGCGGCTGGTGGCCGCTGATGGTTGGAGTATTGTCCCCTTTCTTATTGTTGTGTATTTATGTTTTGTCGAGAAAGGCCTCGGTGGAAACATCGATTTATGTGTTTTGTGAAAGTTTTTCTTTTTCCCTATTTCGTTAAGCTTTTTAGTCAAATTTCACTGGATTAAAAATTTTTTTTGTTAACTGCGTTCTCTTGCTTCCTTTTTTTTTTTATGTTTTGATCTTTCTTGTCTTCTAAGTTTTCTGTGTTACATTTTAATGTCAATCTAGTTATATTGTTCTCAGTTTCTTTCCTCAGTCTCTTGATTCTACTGGAACTTGTTGACTCATCCCCCAAAAATCCACGTTAGTGATACGATCGCACCATTTGATTCCCTCTTTTCCGCGCGGGCACTAGTTAACGACTATGTGTAGTTTATTAATTCAGTGTTTGAAGTTGACGTGGTCAGTGCCTTCGCCTGTGTCACCGGGGTCCTCACGGGAAGCAAATAATCGTGATGCTGCTCACTACCAGGCATGTCGTAAGAGACGACTAACGGTAGGGTTGGGCTTGAGGTTGGCTACCTCATCCTGAAAAAACAATAGCCAAAAAAAAAAAAAAAAAAAACCAAACATGGATAAGGAAAAAAAAAAAAAAAAAAAGTTAGTAAAACCCAACCAACCAAAATGAGGGGAGGCTCTTTAAGTAGAAGTATGACACGGTGTGGAGAAGCCAAAAAGGAGTCCGGATCTTCGACATGCCTCCTGTCCCCTAGGAAAACCTCCATAATTAACACTTGGAATGCACTGGAACCCACAGGGGCATAGGAATAAAGAGAGACCTAAAAACACATTGAGAAGGGAGCTGGAGAATGCAGTTAGAAAGATGGAGAGGACATGGGAGAGGGCAAAAAATATAACGAGTTGGTGTTAGTTGGTTGAGGGCCTATGCTCCATAGGGGGCTAGAAAGGCAGAAGAAAAAAGTTAGTGCCTTGTTGGAGAGCGTGTACAGTTCAGAAGAGCAAATGGATCACCACAGTCTGGTGAGATTGATGCCGCGGTGAGTCACGAGAGGTTCTGGCAGATGCTCGAGGCTTAGAGAAAAGACAAGACAGACGTTTAATCAGAATGTTACAGGCACCACTAGGATTGGAACGCTGCATTTGCTGCTGAAGATGGGGACGGAGCGCTTATGGGAATGCCCGAGTGCCGTGATGTCGGTTCTTAACTCAACTCAACATGATAAAATGTTTTTGTTGTTGTCTACTTTCAGCTGTTTGTATTCGTTATTTTATTGCAATGTTTGAGTAGAATAGGACAAAGAATTACGAAGTAGATACTTCAATGATATACAGCTATACAATGACATATAGATAGATTAGGGAAGCCATAATTTCGAGGGAGAAAAAATGCAAATTGAAAGTTGATTTCAGAGGATATAAGGGAATTAATTACTAAATATAGGAGAAATATCTTTTATAGGAGAAACAAGAGCAATATGGATGGCCAGAAATAGATATCGATTACCTGAGATTCGGATATTTCCACCTGTGTAAGAGAAATCGACCAGGTAGCAGACTCGTAGCAAGGTGGAGTGGTCAGGCTACCTTCATATCGATAATAGTCGAACGTTTTCGGAATCAAATCGTTCACTGGGAATGTTGGAATTTCGACTTCGTCGTCTGTGGAGGAAAAGACACGTATTACTTAACATTTTCTTCTTATTCTGAGCTGGCTGTTGGATGTTGAATGTTGAACTTGGAATCGACATCATAGCACTCGGGACAGCCTGATAAGCACACCGTCCCTATCTTCAGCAGCAAGTGAGGAGTTCCAGTTCCAATGTTACCAGTAACTAATTGCATATCCTTCTGACCTTTCCTTTGAGTGTTGAGAGTCTGTCAGATCCCATGGGATCTATCTGTGCCTTCGCACTGTTCACTCACTCGCAACAACCCTCACAATATTTAGTTTGTCATAAGTCAATTTACCACCAAGTGGTGCAGAGCCGGCCAGTCTATCTGCCTGCTTTTTGTTTTCGCAACACACCATCTTGACCTGGCGAAAATATCTAAAGGACGCTAACTACCCGGGACCTCTGAAGCGATGCCTGTCACTCTGAACGGAGCCCGCCTGTCTCCACCTTTCTCAACATGCTCTGTGAGTCATTTACAGTTACATGTGTGTACAGCTGATTCTCGGTCCAGTGGAAGGCAGCAGTGACTGCCTCCACCTCAATTCTCAAACTAGAAGTTGGGATGTCATATGCCAGTTTTTGTTGCACTAAGCGATTGCTGTTGATGGGGCTGTTGTACTGTTATTTTGTGACTTATATCTAGGCTGTGATATTTTCGCCCTCTTTCGTAGCCAACAGATCCTATTTCAGTAAATCCCCAATTCAATCAATAAGGTGCTGTCTCCGCGATGATTGTTGACTTCAATGAATCTCCAACTCGACCTGTCTTTTGTTTTGGTAGTGCAATCTCTCGGACGTACATCTCTCGATGCTGTCCTCCGACTTCTATCGTTGTCTACCTTTTGCTCTTTTTGCCTTCGAGTATCCTTCCAATATGGTTTTAAAATAAGTAAAGTTCAAATTAGTCCCACTTTACGACATGCTTTAAGTTGTTATAGTTGTATTTTAAATGCATTAAAAACACTTAAGGATGAGCAAAGTTAAGAACCTTTTTTTTCCTTTAGGCGTATTTGGCATAATAGGCTAAACATATTTTATAGAACAATCGACACTTGGTGGGTGATGTATTCACGCCGGCCGCCTTTACTTCCCATGACTGCTCGGGGTACTCACTCAAGGCTGGGTCGACCTGAGCGTCAAGATCTTTTTTTAGCGTCTAACCTCTACACAACGGCGACTCGCATTTAAGGGTACATTAAATGGGGATGAATTCAAGTGAGGTGAAGAAATAAGATAAACATGGGGTGAAGGACCGACCATTTTGGCGGGAAAATATAGACGCAATACCAACTAGAAAGCTTATCGTAAAAGTCAACTAAAGTGTTTCCTTCCAAGTAGGAATACACATGCCTGAGAGACCGGGAACCAACAGCATGCATGCAAATAAGCCAGATGTATGAAATGGATGTGCACGTGAAGTTAAAGCTCTGGGACAAGCCAAGTGATGGCAAGCCAGAACTTTCCGCCGGAATTTATAGCGATGAGCAACGCTAGTTAGTTATTATTCGACAGATGATCCTAATTGCACGTCGAACCATTCAGTCCATAAGTGCTCGGATCCCCTCCTTAGTAAATCTCGCAGCGACCTCAGTTCTGTGTTGGTTTCTTGTTCTTGTTTGGCTTCCTGCATAGTGCTTATGTCTAGCCACATCTTTTAATATGTTGTTCTTGTTGCATGGTCACTGTCGCAGATTTAGAGTCATCACTTGGTTCTCGCAAACGTTTTGCTTCTTGCAGAACATTCAGAAAATCATCATGGTCCATGGCTTGTACGCCCTCCCCAGTAGCTTTCCCTGCAAGCCCATCAGCTTGCTCATTTCCCTGTACACCTGCGTGACTTAGCACAAATATGAAACTGATACTTTTTCAGCCCGGGCCGCTTTAGAGACTCCAAACATCTTGGGATCCAGCCCTTTTCCATCTTCCTGACATACTTAATGAGTCACTGAGAAATATGGGCGGGAAGGGTCTCTGTCTCTAGCCATGTTATTGCTCTGGTCACTGTCATGACCTCCATGGTCAGGCTACTTGTGGTCAAGGCACCAGAATCTTCCTTCACAGCTCTAACTCCAAACTGATGCACGCTAAGAAGACGAGGAAAACAAAATGTCTAGATAAGCGTTGCTATCCCCAGCTTTAAGTTAAAGACGATGGCGCTATATTGGGTGCACATAAAAGGTAAAGGTAAAGTCGGGAGATTTGAACCAGCTTCATTGCACACGGTTATAGACCGTAAGTGCTCTGCCACCAGTACGGACAGCTGATAAAAAATATCTCCGTCTGTGTCGACGTCCGCACGCAACTCTGTAGCTACAGCGACGAACCTCCATTTACCCCAGAGTGTTAACTCTGGTACCCATTACCTTTTTTGGGTTACCCCCGGAAATTGCCCGGTTTCGAAAACTGAGTGGGCTGCAGCGAGTGGATTTGAAAGCGAGTCTCCTATCGACCGCGCTAACGCGCAAAGAGAAAATGGTATAACTGAGAGTAATATTCGAAATAGATTGACTGATGAAAATAGAAAGTCTAAGATTTTCCCTTCACCTCGTGTTGTCGGGCAGAAGTCAAATGTACTGAGACTGGATTCTGTCAATGATATTGCAAAGATTTCATGGGTAGAAGAGAATGAATGTATAGAGAGAGAGAGAGAGCCCTACTTAACGGATAACTGCACACAAGAATGATATTAATAATGATATTAATAATGATGATAAACTTGACACCGACGGCAACGACGAGAATGATTATTAAGATGACGAGAATGATGATGGCGACGACAGGAGAAGAGCCACATTATTTGTTGCAGTCTACTTAAGAGAACAATGGTGCAGCATACCCGACTTTCAGTATCTCTTAGTCTCTCTTGGAACTTTCAGTATCTCTTAGTCTCTCTTGGAACTTCCAGTATCTCTCAGTCTCTCTTGGAACTTTCAGTATCTCTTAGTCTCTCTTGGAACTTTCAGTATCTCTTAGTCTCTGTCTCTCTTGGAACTTTCAGTATCTCTTAGTCTCTGTCTCTCTTGGAACTTTCAGTTTCTCTTAGTCTCTCTTGGAACTTTCAGTATCTCTTAGTCTCTCTTGGAACTTTCAGTATCTCTTAGTCTCTCTTGGAACTTTCAGTATCTTTTAGTCTCTCTTGGAACTTTCAGTATCTCTTAGTCTCTCTTAGAACTTTCAGTATCTCTTAGTCTCTCTTGGAACTTTCAGTATCTCTTAGTCTCTGTCTCTCTTGAAACTTTCAGTATCTCTTAGTCTCTGTCTCTCTTGGAACTTTCAGTATCTCTTAGTCTCTCTTGGAACTTTCAGTATCTCTCAGTCTCTCTTTGAACTTTCAGTATCTCTTAGTCTCTCTTGAAACTTTCAGTATCTCTTAGTCTCTGTCTCTCTTGGAACTTTCAGTATCTCTTAGTCTCTGTCTCTCTTGGAACTTTCAGTATCTCTTAGTCTCTGTCTCTCTTGGAACTTTCAGTATCTCTTAGTCTCTGTCTCTCTTGGAACTTTCAGTTTCTCTTAGTCTCTCTTGGAACTTTCAGTATCTCTTAGTCTCTGTCTCTCTTGGAACTTTCAGTTTCTCTTAGTCTCTCTTGGAACTTTCAGTTTCTCTTAGTCTCTCTTGGAACTTTCAGTATCTCTTAGTCTCTGTCTCTCTTGGAACTTTCAGTTTCTCTTAGTCTCTCTTGCTTTTGCCGCCCTCTTCTTAACGTGCTGGATCCTATTCTCCGTAGAAATCCAGTGGAATATTAGTGTTTCAACGCACAGCGCGAAACTAGATGAGACCAGAAACGAGACAGGAAACGAGACAGGAAACGAGACCAGAAACGAGACAAAAAACGAGACAGGAAACGAGACTAGAAACGAGGTAAACAAGAAATCCAGGTCTGTCTGTTAGCTACTAAGTGGAGTGCATGGTGCGACACTGTGAGCTGTAAATTTCATGGGGAATGCGTATCGTCCGTGGTCTCATCAGAGATGTGTTTTCTAACTGGCATATTCAGAAATAACGATTTGCTGGTTGACAAGAATCGGCGGTGTGACTTATGCAGCAATGGGCGTGCATGTCTTTGGTTATCTTGACTCCATCAGCTATGAATAGCAGTGCTTGTGACATAATTATATTTTAACACGCCTGGTGACAGATGTATGACTCTTTGGGGATGTGCGAGCTTTTGGATTTTTCCAGGAATGTCATCGCATTAGCCGTATTCACAAGGACAATAATGGGCTTTTTGGTGGGTTTTATTGGCAAGTAATGTGATGACCTGTTACTAATGAAGCTGGAACTTCCAACAGATAGTCAGAAATGGCGGAATGCAAGACGGGCTTGCTTGCGTGTCCAATTTGTGACCCTTCGATAATAAAGTTCATTCGTTCAAAAGAACTACAATTGTACCTGGTTCGGGAATTTCCTGCAGATGCTCTATCAGCGTGTCGTAGCCAGGATTATGTTTACCAACCTGACAGAGATAAAATAAAAGTGTTGGTGAAATTACACTTCGATCTATTGAATTCAAATGTTTTTAGATTATTACAATCCGAAACAGTGTTTCGCGTAGATAGTTTAAAAAATGAGCCTCACACAATTTGCCAGGGTAAGTCAATAAGTAAGTCCCAAATGGCAGCTGAGAAAGAAAAACACTAAAGAAGATACCAGCTTGAGAACAATTTGTTTGCAAATACATTATCCCTTTTTTTTAAAACATTATTTCCACCAACACTGATGCACTTGTGCCGTCGTTTTATCAGTCCTCCCAAACCTGCTGCATAGAACTGCGTGCTCTGTTTTCTAAACCACATTTTGACTTCACATTTAACTTCTGCGTATTTCGAGAAATGTCTCCCTCCAAGATAGGTTGTTTATCAGTGGACCAAAGTTTCTTTTTGTTTGTTTGTTTGTTTAATAATGAAAAGTCAGTCAACCAGTTGATCAAGAATTTGACTTGACTGCACTCGGGACATTTCCACTCGGAATCCGTCTCCCTCCTCAGTAGCCCACATTTAGTCGACATGCTAATAGTACCAGTTGCAACCTGATTAAAAGTCCGTCTGTTTAACCTTGGATGTTGAATACCTTCCAGAACCTCTACTCGCCTCCGTTTCATTTATTGGAATAAATGTCAGTTCTACTGCCAATGTCTATTTGATTTCCAGTGAGCTTTCATTTCGTAGCTTTATCATAAAGTAGTTCATCATCAACAGAACCTTATATCTCCCTCGACACCCACAGCGGTAAAAGAGAAAGTGAAGAAGAAGAAGAAGTTCATCACCCAGAGGAGCTGTAGCTGCAATCTGTCATACTGCTCAATACCCCGCACACCGGAAAAACCTGGACAGAAAACTCATATGTTCCTGATCTGAGTCTTGTCAGGTGAAGCAAGCCACTTATGCGTATGACGCCAGCTTCAATTTTGGAAAGCATGCTTATTGAGTCCGTTGCAGTTATACGTCGGGCTGTGCTGCTCTCAAGCTATTGGAATGCTGTCGTTTACCGCCTCAACCTCCATTCTCACATTGAGAATGTGAGAACTGTGCTGGTCTCGCAGTACATTTACTAAAATCGGAAGGATACAGAGACGATTAGCATGCCCCTGCTCAAGGATGACACACAAATTCGTGAAGCGTTTCCTTTTTTTGTTTCTCCGGACTACGATGTCGTGGTGGGTAAAGAACAGGCAGACAGATTGGCTGGATCTGCACCACTGGGCGGTGAATTGATACATGACAAGGCAGATGTGGTCAAGGCCCTTTGTGAACACGCAGCGGAATCAGAAGAGAAAGAAGACTATTAGGGCCTAGAGAGAATGAGGCACCTGAGTGTAACCAGAGGGTCTGGCCGGCTCACTACACTCAGAGGAAAGGCAAGACGGACATATTACCAGATTGTGACCATCAGTATTAGAACTCAGCGCTGGCTGCTGAAGATGAGGACGGAGCATGCACTGAGAATGCCCTGAGTGCTGTGATGTAATTTCTGGACTCAACTCTAACATTGAATGCTGTGACATTACAAGCTGAACTCTCTGTTTTCAAACTGTATCCATTTACCTGTGCAAAAATCGTTAATTATGCTAACCTTAAAGAGAAATGAAAGAACTGTCAGTCCGTGCGGGCTGGCGGCGGCGAGACCAACGTTGGAGAACCGCTCCTGCCTGTGCACGATGTGGAGCTGGAGAAGCAAACAGAAGGAAGCAATAATAAAGGAAAATGGCTGTAGCTATTATTTGTCTTCTTGCTCTTTGCCATCATCATCATTATCATCATCATCATCTTTCCGCTTTAGCGTCATTATTTTTAATATCAGCAGCGGCAGCAGCAGCAGCTACAACAACACCATCTTTATTATCATCATCGTCATTATGTTCTTCTACTTTTTTTTCTTGATTTACAACAACAACTACAACTACTAATACTACCACTACTACCACCACCACCACTACTACTACTACTACTTCTACTACTACTACTACTACTACTACTACTACTACTACTACTACTACTACTACTACTACTACTACTACTACTACTACTACTACTACTACTAGTACTACTACTACTACTACTACTATCATAGCGTCATTATTTTTATTATCAGCAGCGGCAGCAGCGGCAGCAGCAGCAGCTACAACAACACCATCTTTATCATCATCATCGTCATTATCTTCTTCTACTTTATATATATATATATATAGCTAGAGTGAGATAAAGAGAATGAACAAACGAAAGAACTTTACCTTCAAAAGATCACCAATTGCGAACTCAGGCCCGTCTTACATTTGCTCTTTCCAAACACCATTTTTCATTCAGTAGATGTATTTAATCAATAAAGCATACTCATATAATAATATGCATATTATAAATATAGAAAAACACACACACACAAAAGCATAGGTAGTAAAATGTATGCGCGCACTCGCGCGCGCGAGCACAACCACACCCATAAACACATGTTCACCCCTTACTCACTTCCACACAGACAGACAGACAGACAGACAGACAGACAGACAGACAGACAGACAGACAGACAGACAGACAGACAGACAGACAGACAGACATGCATCCATGCATGCATGCATCCATCCATCCATCCATCCATCCATCCATCCATCCATCCATCCATCCATCCATCCATCCATCCATCCATCCATCCATCAATTCATACATGCATACATACATACATACATGCATACATACATACATACATACATACATACATACATACATACATACATACATACATACATACATACATACATACATACATACATACATACATACATACATACATACATACATACATACATACATACATACATACATACATACATACATACATACATACATACATACATACATACATACATACATACATACATACATACATACATACATACATACATACATACATACATACATACATACATACATACATACATACATACATACATACATTCATACACACACACACACAGACAGACAGACAGACAGACAGACAGACAGACAGACAGACAGACAGGCAGGCAGGCAGGCAGGCAGGCAGGCAGGCAGGCAGGCAGGCAGGCATGCATGCATACATACATACATACATACATACATGCATACATACATACATAAATACATACATGCATGCATGCATGCATGCATACATGCATACATACAGGCACACATATACAGACAAGTACACACAGACACACACAGTCACACACGCAGGCGCACAAGCTCACACACACACACACACATAGACACGCACACACAGATACAAGGTACACACTAAGACAAACACACATAGAGACACACACAAAGCACACATACAAACACAGACACACACAAAGACACAAGCAGGTGAGACACATACTGAGACATATAGAGAGACAGAGAGAGACAGGGAGAGACAGGGAGACTGAGAGAGAGACACACACACACATGCACACATACAAACACAGACACACACTGACACACACAAAGACACAAGCAGACGGCACACACACTGAGACATACAGAGAAAGACAAAGAGAGACAGAGAGAGACAGAGACAGAGGACACCGAGAGAGACAGAGAGACAGAGAAAGAGAGACAGAGAGACAGAGGCAGGGAGAGACATAGAGACATAGAGACAGAGACAGAGAGACAGAGAGACACAGATAGAGGAACACAGATAGAGGAACACAGAGAGAGACAGAGACAGGGAGAGACATGGAGACAGAGAGGCAGAGATTGAGACAAAGAGAGACAGAGGCGAGAGACAGAGAGAAAGAGAGACAAAGAGAGACAGAGACAGGGAGAGACATAGAGACAGAGGCAGAGAGACAGAGAGACAGAGAGAGACAGAGAGACAGAGAGACAGAGACAGAGAGACAGAGACAGAGAGACATAGAGACAGAGAGACAGAGAGAGACAGAGAGACAGAGACAGAGAGACAGAGAGACAGAGACAGAGAGACAGAGACAGAGAGACACAGAGACAGAGACAGAGAGACACAGAGACAGAGACAGGGAGACAGAGAGACAGAGACAGAGACACATAGAAACAGAGACAGAGATTATAGAGACAGAGTGAGACATAGAGACAGAGAGACAGAGAGACATAGAGACAGAGACAAAGACCGAGAGAGAGTCAGAGACAGAGGAACACAGGGAAAGACAGAGAGAAAGAGAGACAGAGAGACGACAGGGAGAGACAAAGAGACAGAGAGACAGCGATAGACTGAGAGACACGGAGAGACAGGGACAGAGAGACAGAGAAAGAGACAGAGAAAGAGACATAGAGACAGAGAGACAGAAAGAGTCATAGGGAGACTGAGAGACAGAGAGACAGAAATAGAGATATGCTACTTGCAAGGTAAACTATGAAAACATGGTTACAATATCTTTACCGTCCGTTTTTTGCTATGTCTTTCTATTGTACACAAATATGGCACAGTGAATTACCTCTGCAGGAGCGAACCTGCCATTGATGCTGTGTTCGGATCCCACACTGCTGTTTTTGCCCCAGTGGAAGTGGAGTTGCTCCAGTTTGTATCTGGCCGGCAGACTACCACCCTTCAGGTAGAGCGGTGTTCCAGAGACGATCACCTCAGCTGGCGTATAGAGGGTTAAAGCAGTGTTTCCCCGATGTGAATTTGAACAAAGAAGACACAAACAATAGACTGCACAATTTATCGCCTGGCATATTTCGCTGTATCTCGTCAGGTGCATACTACAGTAACAATTAATTAAAATGAAGCAAATAGCTGAATCCTAGAAACTGAATTCCAGAGAAATTTGACTAAAAAGCTCAACAAAATGGGAAAGAGGAAAACGTGCACAAAACAACAACAAAACTACGTTTCGGCCGGGCAGCCTTTCTGCCCGTTTTCCTCTTTCCCATTTTGTTGAGCTTTTTAGTCAAATTTCTCTGGAATTCATTGTATTAGCTTGACTGCAGTCACCCCCATAGTTTCACCTAGAAACTGAAACACAAATTTGAGTACTTTCTAAACTGTGTGTTTCACCAAGGTAACCGTAAGGTAACGACCATGTCTTTCTGCCTACAGTGTTGGCAACATATTAATTCTTTACATCCTGGTGTGTGTTGTTTTATTGTGGGGGGGGGGGTGTAATGTTGGTATTTTTCCCAGGGAGATCTCTAAACAATCTTCTTCTTCTTCTTCTTCTTCTTCTTCTTCTTCTTCTTCTTCTTCTTCTTCTTCTTTTGTCAAAATCTGCTTGTGCCGCTAGGCGTCGCAGTCTATCAGATGATCAGCAACCGAGCCAGGGCGAGCTCAGTCGCTTCATATGCCGTGATGTTATGAAGTCTCAAGTTGTCCGTGACTATTTCAATCCATCTTCTTCTTGGTCTTCCCCTGCCTCTTGGTGTTTCGATTTTTATGTTGTATGCTCTTGATGCTGGTATCGTTGGTTCCATTCTCATATCTAAACAATAATATGGGAATAAATAGGAAATAAAAAAGAAATAATGAGAATGTGAATACTCGTAGAAACATGAGATAAACAAACACGGCTCAGACCAGCACGTGAAACCCAGAACGAGGGTTATTTATAAGGTTAGACCATGGTCTAATCAGTTAGTATGTGTTTGGCAGCTGGCGTGAGAGGTTGTATTTGATAGACACGTGAATGTGACAGTGTGTATTTGAAGACGTGAAAGAGATTCTGTTCCATGGGAAGACACCCGAACGACTGCTTGATGAAAGACTAATCCGAAACGGTAGCCGACAAGTTCCAACCGGTCAAGATGTCGAACTGCCATGATCACAACTGCTGGATCAACCATTGTGTGTATTACGTGTGTAAGAAAACAGGGCTGAACAAAAAAGAGTGTGAAAGAGAGAGGGCGTCAAGTTGGTGTCTGATAAATGTCATCCTATGTTGCTGCACCTGCTAGCTAATAGTAGACCTTGACTGGACCAGATCACCTGTGAAAGTGTAATATAGAATATAACTGGATATCGTCTACCTGTTACCAACTGTGTGCATTCAGAATGTCATCTATGTCTTCCAAATAAAAAATAAAAAAACCAGCAACTAGTCAGCACATCAAAGAGACAATATCAAGGGGGCAGGGACTGGGGCGGGGGGGGGGGGGGAAGAGAGAAACCACTATAGACCCACTTCTACATTTTCTTCTTCTTCATCTTCTTTCTCTTCTTCTCCTTTTTTTTCTTCTTCTTCTTCTTCTTCTTCTTCTTCTTCTTCTTCTTCTTCTTCTTCTTCTTCTTCTTCTTCTTCTTCTTCTTCTTCTTCTTCTTCTTCTTCTTCTTCTTCTTCTTCTTCTTCTTCTGCCTTTCTAACCCCCCAATGGAGCATAGACCCCTCAAACAACTCACACCAGATCGTTACATCCTTTGCTATTGCATGCAGACCCCTCAAACAACTCACACCAAGTGGTTACATCCTTTGCTATTGCATGCAGCTCTCCCCTTGTCCTCTCCATCTATTTTTACCATCAGCTCCCTTCTCTATGTATTTTCTGGCCCTTTTAAAATAATGTCAATGCCCCTTTGGGTTCCAGTGCAAAGACATTCTAGTTACACTGTTCTCAGGTTTTCTCAACGTGTGTCCTTTCCAACGCCATCGTCTTTTCTTCACCTCTTGGTCTACTGGAACTTTAGTTCTTTCTCAAAGCTCAACATTATTGATTCTATGAAACAATTTAATTAGATCTCTTCTGCGCAGTTACCCGTTACAGTGTGT